CATTGATTAGAATCATACGAGTCAAAGATTTGTAACATAATGCAAGGAGTTGTTTGTGTGTGAGAATGCTATAATATTGATTAGAATCATTGAGTTAAAGACTTGTAACCTAATATACAGAGTAAGAATGCCAACTAAATACTTTACTTATTTGTCAAAAACTTGAATAATGCATGAAGTTGTCTGTGTGTAGAAATGCCAAAGTTTTTTAAGGAAAAATCTACAAACATCAATAAAATTACATTGATTAGAATTATACACGTCAAAGATTTGTAACCTAATGCATGCATGGAGTTGTTTGTGGGAATGCCAACTATATCTTTTAAGGAAAATCTACAAACACCAATAAAATTACATTGATTAGAATTATCCTAATACAAGAAGTTGTTTGTGGGAATGCTATAACATTGATTTGAATCATATAAGTTAAAGACTTGTAACTTAATGCACAGAGTAAGAACGCCAACTGAATATTTTACTTATTTGTCAAAAACTTGAATAATGCATGGAGTTGTTTGTGTGTGTGGGAATGCCAACTAAGTTTTTTAAGGAAAAAATCTACAAACCAATAAAATTATAGTGATTAGAATCATACGAGTCAAAGACTTGTAACCTAAATCATGAAGTTGTTTGTGTGTGAGAATGCCAACTAAGTTTTTTAAGAAAAAATCTACAAACAGCAATAAAATTACATTGATTAGAATTATACGAGTCAAAGATTTGTAACCTAATGCAAGGAGTTGTTTGTGTGTTGTTTAAATTAATATTAATATGAAATTGTTGCTCAGCTTTCTCATTCAATAACTCATCAGCGAGCTTTTTAAGTTTTCTAGAATCTTTAATTTGTTTTAGCTTTTTCTTACGTTTAGGCATTATTACAATTTCCTCAACATGTGTTTCACTTTGAACTGGACAATTTGGACATGCAACACTCCTTATGTTCAACATATAACTACTAATATATATTAGATGAAACGTGTGTTCACAAGATAGTAGAGTAATTGGTTCAGTGGAAAAATTTATTCTCTGCATTTTTGGCATGGATACTGTTCAATATTTATGCCTTGGACTTCAACACTTTGGGAATGATGTAGAATATTCAATGCAAACGTTTTAAGTAAATCACTTTGAAACCAGTTTGTGATTTGAGGAAAAGATATTTTGTTTTATGTAATATCGAAACTTGTAAATGAATAATTTAATAAAGTTTGATCAATCTGGTGAACAAAAAAATATTATCAACACCTGCTCAAAATTTTTCACATGTCCTATTCTAAAAACTAATTCAAATTTAATGTCAATTGATAATTTAAATACAAAACTTTAAATTCTATTTAATTAAGCAATTAAATTAATATTGCAAAATTGGACAATAGATTTTCAAAAAAAACAATATAGTTTGTCTTGCGCTATACTTTATGCAGCAATATGCTACATGTCACGTTTTTTTACAAAAACAATACTAAGTTTATTTTTAAATGATGCATATTTTACTGAGTTAAAATTAAATTATAATGAAATGTTATATATTAAACTGTAAAATTTAGTTTATAAGATGGATATTTTATCCAGATCGCATCTCTAGTATATATTAAATTACAAAACTATGCTTACTACACTTTCTACAGAATATATGAAATGAATATTTCAGTATATCATGAAAAACAATGAATCTCTATATTCTTTTTTATTAGTAAACCGCTACTGGTGTAGAAATGCTGTTCCAATTCTGTGGGCTTGCCTATTTGATAAATTACATTTTGATAATATAAATAATGTAAGCAAAATTACATTAGTTTACATTTCATCATTTGAAGAGCATATGAAAAGTTATCTTAAAATATTATTAGTCAAAAATTTATTTGACCAAAAGTCTATCCTGAAAATGATACCTTGTGAAAAACTCTTATTTAATTATCTAATGATGTTAGAACAATTTTCGATAAAAAACTTGGAAAGAATTGTTTATGCTTGGATTGCTAAATTTTGTTCTAATAAAAATTTTGAGTTAAAAAAAACAAATAAAGAAGCAAATAATTTTGCTTTTATTCCAACTGTTTATTAAAAATACCAAATTAAAATTTATAAGACTCAATAGTGACAATATCATGAACGTTCTAGAACATTAACCTGAGATTAGACAAGATTTAAATATTACAAAACTTGAAATTGAATACTCACAAATATCTAAATTCACAATAAACCTTTTAGAAAAAATTTCAAAATCATGTAAAAAACTAAATAATATAATTATTACTATCCCTGCATTTGAGCATAACAAAGATATTAAAAATTTAATTATATCAAGTATAAATGCGCAGGAAAAATTAAAGGAATTTAGCTTAAATGGTGTAAGTTGTGTAGGGAAATAATTAAAGTTTTGCAATTTCACTCAAATTCTTTGACATCGATCCAACTTATGTATTTAAACATCTCAGCATCTTCTTTAGATTCACTTGCTAAATGTAAAAATTTGAAAACCCTTGTGATTTTGAACTATTCCCTTATATTTAATGAAAGATTAACTCAATTCGAATTTAAAAATTTGAAGAAGTTATATATTAACATGATAATTCA